GTGGCATACTGAGCCACACGGGCCCCAGTTAGGGCCCATCAGAGGCTCTGATCGACCATCAAACCTCACTCTCTGACTCCGCTGCTAAGCTATGGTGCTGTGCATCGTCTCTCCTAGCTATAGCTACTCTGGCGCTCACTCTCACTGTCACTCTCTGCCGGCCCTCTTGCATCACTAGCGCTCCTGCACGAGCAGCCCAGCCTCAAATCATCGCAAGGCAGAATGAATGCCCGACTTGGGCCCGGCAGAGTTTTTTAAGTACTGGTGACTCGGTGTGGCCTGCCTCCAGTTGCCTCCCTCGTAGGCCTGATACTTCCCAATCTGTACAGCCGAGATTTGCTTGCGGCCAGTGTATGCCTGGACCCAGAAACTTCTGGAAACTGCACTGAGCCTTTGGATGTGTGTGTGATCTGTGGTCATGGTTGACTCCAGAGGAATATTCGACTCCTTGATTTCTTTGGCCGTCTTGCGCCTGAGTGTTGACTTTCCTTCTTGAAACTGCACTTGGCTCTGCTTTCACTTCTTGAGGCCCTGCGTGCCTCGTCTTGAAGCCTACCAACCTGAGGATTTTCTGGTGCCTCGACGGAGGATGTGAGAAGGACTTTTGACCCTAGTACTTTGACTAAGCCATAAACAACAACCCCCAAGACTTGTCTCGTGCGGATTGGGCCTCGGTTCTTTGCACTTCTCTCTCCTGTCAGTTTCTACTCTCCTCCTTCAGCGTCTTGCTTTCTGAGTTTCATTTGTGACATGCATGTGAATGAAGTGTTTGGACGGTGAGGATTAAGAATCGGGTTCATTGCAAAAGGGTATGGGATGTTAACGGCGGGTAGGAAGGAGATTATACGAATTCAGGTATGAAAATTTTAAACGGGGTTAAAAAGGCTATTTACAGTACATCCTTGGGGCCCAGCTACAATCATATGACCATAAGATTGCCTGGGGAACGATGTGCTCACTGACTGTGTGGGCATACCTGTGGATCATTCTGGATATGTCTTCCTCATTCTTGTAGCTGTATTTCCCTCGGAGATAAATCTGCAAGAGCTGGATGATGGTCTCCTTGAGCTTCCTGTGAGCTTCCCAAAACTCTTCATCAATTTCATTCAGCAAAATTTTCCCAAACATCGTGACTTCGATGTCCAAGACACAGAATTTTGACACAGCATTGAAGATTGCGGAGGCCCACTCCAGAACCAGTGATTTTAGTCCGAATCTCTGGTTTAGGAATGTGTACAGGTGCTGTTCCATTGTCTCACGAGGCACATGCGACATTCCATTTTTCTTGTCGCACCTTATCTTTGAGATTCGAAGATGCGCCATCACCTCCCTCAATTGATGAAACGAGAGAACACGAACGAAGTGTCCACCTTGTTCTGGACTCCCTGGTGGCACTGCTGTCAGCCAATATGGTGACCGAAGAGAGGCCTTGGGAGCCATCCACCAGACCGCAAGTGCTGTAAACCATGTGTTATCCTGATCTTTGAACAGATTGTTTTTCTCACTCCTCAGCAGGGATAATCGCATTTGTTGGATGGCTTTTGACAGATCAGAACTGCTGGACACACTGCTGGCGTCTTTTGCGGGAACTGCATCACTCCAGTCCTTGCATTCGGACGCTTTCGGACCGTTTGATCGGACTTTTCCGGACTTCTTCAATGCCAGTATGCTGAACGACGGCCTTTCCAGGCCAAGGACACCGCTCTTGCGGAGGTCATCATCCCCTGTGCTCTCTTCAGACCCATCCAGAGGTATAGGAACAAGTAAATCAGCGATCTCATTCATTGCCAACAGACCATGTGCATCTTGACTTTGAGTCTTCTGCTCATCGAGTCCCGGCCCTACAAACTCGTCGTCAACGAGCTCGGGTTCAACAAACCCTTCATGTCGGCCTACTAGTAGTTGTCTCCCATCAGGGTTCGAGTAATTGCTATCTTCTTGTCCCCTATCAGAGTATGAGTCATTGCTGTCTAGTCCATGTCTGCCCTCAGGGCCTGATTCATTGCTGTCAAGTTGTCTTCTATCAGGGTCCGAGTCATTGCTCTCTACTTGTCGTCCATCACGGTCTGAATCATTGTTATCCAATGTATCGGTCGCAACAGTATGCCTGCCATCGCGATCGGAGTCAATGTTACTCAATGTATCGATCACAAATGTATGTCTGGAGCTGTCCTGAACCGCACCTTCCATCTGTGACTGGTTTTCCAGTCCAGTGATGCTGGAGCCTCCATCTCGTACACTTGCATTGCAGATCTCTTCCGTTTTAACATCCAGATCCAGGCGCTCAGATTCTGATCCTGACCTGGAGTGTGTTGGACCCTGGCCTATCAAGCTGGAATCGTCATCCCTGGCATTCAATTCCTCCATCTCCAGTGACAGCCATGGGTTCTCCTCTGCAAATGAGGCAACATTTGCCCCAGAAACCCCTTGTTTCTCTAAGGACGGAGTCATTCCTGCATCCATTACTCAGAGTGTTAGACGATACGACCCATTCCTACCCCAATGCCATTCACCTATTCCACCAGCATCATGCTGATGTCCCTAACTGCCAGTCCCTCCAGCTTATATTGAAAATGAGGCCCAGTAGAAAAAGAGGGCAATCCATAGATAGAATCCATGATCTATTCAACGACTTCGCGAATTATGTATCTAAACAGAAAAGACATCTTCGAAACTTCAATGCAGTTCCTGTGTCCTGAGTTCAGCAAAGCCGCATTCAACTCACGGATCATGTAGGTGCGGACTTAGGCTCCGGTTCGTTAGCTGATTGTGCTCTGCCTGTCCTGTCAAAGTCAGATAACAACATCCAGACGCAAAGCTCTACGGAGTTTGGTAGCTGATTGTGTTCTGCCTGTCCTGTCAAGTTCAGAATAGACAGGCCAATGGTCAGATGGACAGACAGATTCGTAGACAGATCAGCAAGGATAGATTGATATACAGTATTATACATACATACATACATACATACATACATACATACATACATATGTGTGTATACACATACACAGACACATGTAGGCATGTACACAGACAACACACACACACACACACACACACACACACACACACACACACACACACACACACACACACACACACACACACATGCACACTGTCGCATGCCCGAAGATGGGCATGGCGCAGAACCCAAGAACCAACCAAGGAGAAAGAGCAAAATACAATGCAGCAGAAGACACAGATCTAACTCAATGACTCAGCATCATCAATGGGGTGAGTGGGCATGGCACTGGATACATAGAAGAAAAGTGTCATGCCAAAACAACATCCACAGATGAGGAGAAGGGAGAAGAGACGAAGGAGGAGAAGATATGGAGATGTCGTCAACTCAAATGTTGCCCATGAAGTCTCCCAAAAATAGTCCCCCAATGCCTCTGTCCAATATATCCACGTCTCTCTCTCTCTCTCTCTCTCTCTCTCTCTCTCTCTCTCTCTCTCTCTCTCTCTCTCT